TTAAAAAATTGTTGTTAAGATATGTATGCATGTTTTCTGAAAGTGGAATATTTGCAGTTTTTGAGAATGCATTCTTTTAAATAATATCTATTTAATTTAAAGGTAACTAAAAAAAGGGCTGCTAGCAAGAAAAACTTTGAACTCAAGGAGTTTCAGAGTTCCCCTCAAGCTGCACCACTAAAGAATGAACAGCCAATGTCTTCTGACCACATTCAGCAAGATAGTTCTTCAGCTCCTTTAAAATCTCCTCAAGCTGCTCAATCCACTGTTTCATTTCAAGACAATGTGGCTACTCCAAGTGTTCCTCATAACAAATCAACACCAAACACTTCCAGCAAGCGAAAGCCAAGAAAACTGGCTGTCAATTTTGGCGCACCAAAATCTTCAGAATAAATCTGGTAGCTAGGTGTATTTTATCTTTAACTCTTTCCCCACTGTTATGTTCTATCATTTAAAAAAATCAGAAATCTCTATTAAAAAGACCAGCCACTTTAAGTATAATATAGAAGGAGATACATTTTATTTGCTATGGTTTTCAGGTTGTCATTAAAACCATAAAAATTATGTTAAAAATTAATTTTATTTTCACTTAAATTAGCAAAAGCCAGGAAATACTGAGTTAGGGTTGCCATGCCATCCCTTGTGCCTAGGTTTCTAAACAGTGGCTTACAGACAATATTGGGTGAGCAGCAATAATAGTGGCAACCTTAACTCAGGTTGGATGTGCGTTTTGGGAGGGATGTGGAACAGTAATAACTTGGGCATCTAACAGTATTTAACAGCACATTTTGTACTCTAGCTTGATTTTAAATAGTGTAATAAGACAGAAGTTAAATATTATTTAAATGCAGCTTTTATATTGGCACTCCAGGTCCCTCTGAGATGAATCAGTGTAACTAAAAGCTAACTACAGAGAAACTGCCAAATCCCCTCTAAGTAGGAACTGCTGGGTTTTGTACTAGGGGGCAACAGCTTTACAGCTTTCAGAACATAGGTATTACTGTGTGTCTGGTATTGGAGTGGCAAAAACTGGTTGCTCTTGCACAATCTGTTCCAGGAGATCAATTCATAGGATGTATTGAGTAAGAAAAATTATATTTGCAAAGTAGAGATCCCTTTGGTAGCGTACATTTAACTTTTTTTTTTAATCTACCAATTTAATTGTTTTCTGATGATAAAATAACAAAGTTATCTAATACAGATGTGCATAGCCTCCTCAATGCTTGTGATAGCCTGATTTTTTTCTAAACTATAAAAATGGCCAGAGTTTGAAGACACCCCATTTTGCTGTATGGTTGTCAAAGTTATGTTTACTTAGAGTCCATTTCTTCCTCCAATAGTCTGTGCCCTGAAACCTTCTCAATAGTAGGTTATTTTTTAATAATAACTAATGACTTCTAATATTTTTTTAGTTTTGTGAGGGAATTTCTGTGTTGCAAAATTAAATTTTCAGGAACTGTTGCTATTGATTCCATAATAATATTCAGATGAAAAGCTGACGTGAATTTTTGGACAGAACTATGGGATTCTTTGTTCATATAGGAAAACAAGAAGTCTCAAAAGTCCTTGTATTGTTTTTAACCCACATGCACCAATCTTATTGACATTAATATAAAATCTTCAGTCTAAGAAAGTTTGAAACCTCTGTTGGTATCTGCTTACTGACATTGATTAAATTTCATTTTTCATCTCTTCTAGAAAAAGAAGTATTTTTTATCTAAGGCCTAGGAACTAGAAATAAAGCAAACTTGAGTGATTTTGTTGCTTCTGAACTGGTTTCATTCTGGGACTGCAAGTCCATAGACTTTCTTTCATTTGTTTTTTTGCCTTCATTTCTTGGTGTAGTATGAAGTGTCACATTATTACTGTGTTATAGTGTCTTTTAATTTTCGTTTCTCCAAAACAGTTGTTGGCTCAGCAGTATTTGTAGAATAGCAGCAAGCTCTATAAAAAGGATCACAGAGGTAAAAACAAGATTACAGAATTTTATTTTCTTTTATATCACAAAACTTGTGGAATAGTTTTCATATAGTATTAAACACATTGATTTTGTTGTTGTCTTTAAAGTCATCTAGTCTCAAGAGGTTCAAAGCCATTTTCTGTGAAGGGAAGGTTCTCTTTTTTGGGGTTTTTTTTCTCATTAGCAACATGAGACTGATGTGATGCTGCCATGCCAATATTTTAGAAGTGGTTATGGGACATTTAATTGGTCCACTGTATCTATCTGAATGATCTGATCATAAGAGAAAATACCTATTTGAAAATTTCCGTGACAGAGATGAGGCTATGTTAGACTCTGGCATCACAGAATTTTGATGTGTCTGTACAGCCAATTTATGCAGATTTTTGAGAAACAGTTACGGAGGATGCTATACTCTTATGTACCAGTGAACACAGCAATTTTTATTAATTATTCTACTTCAGATTAAGATTTCTGCTCCCTCTTCAAGTGGAATTACTATATGTAGTATATTTAGGTGGTTAAACCCTTTATTCTGTAACTGCTGCATATTGTATTCGTCCCTGATTTGTAGTTTTTCTATTCTATGAAAGTGACTGCCTGGTGCCCAGTTTATTACAGTTTTACATGTCCTGGTAGATGTAACATTGATCTTTGCCATGTCCCCTTTGATTTCATGATTATATTTTTACCAGGTCATTATGTTTAGCTCATACAGATATAAATTTAGGCATTTCTTTTTCTCATAGATATAAAGTATTTTCTAAGCACTGGAGTTTTTCATTAGATCTTATACAGAGCAGTATTTTACTAAAAATCCAAAAGGGAAGACTTTTATGTGCGCATTTTTGTAGTTTCTGATTTTTTTAAAATAACTTTTCATTGTTTATCTGCCAAGTGAAATGTTTTAAATTTGCATATGAATGAATACAGAATGTATTTTTTGTGCTGTTTAGTGTTAAGTGTGCATTTGCAGATTTTTAGCATGTAGTTGCACAAAGACTGTGCAAAGATATTTTGGAATATGAATATATGCTACACTGAAGGAAAAACATTCATAAAACTTAAATGCTATATAGAACTCTAATGCAATAGAGTAATTTTATAAACTGTCTGTGTCTGCTTGGATTAAATATTGAAACAAGAAACATTACCTATTTTTACTGTTTTATTTCCAAATACTACGTGGGAACTTGTGTATCCTCCAACCCAGAAGTTTATTAAATGAATCAAATCCCATGAAACTCAGTTTTTGTGATTCTCAGAAGCAGGACCTGCCCTCCTGACTGTTTCTTGATGGCTTTCAACTGTAACTGTGATCAAAATACGAAGTTTTTTTCAAATGACTGTTGGTCACTTTGAAATTAAAAGCATTTAATATAATAGTGATCTTCCAAAAATTTTTTGTCCTTTTCACCAATCAGATTTAAAAAAACCCAGCCCCATAGAAAAGTCATTAAGATTATTTTCCAGTAAGCTCAGTCCTAGTGATTGTTAACAACGTAGAGAACCAGCTGCTGGCTGAGAAGCAGAAAATTCATGTCTTTCTTGCACATTTTAGTGTGAATTAGCTTGTTTAAAGCAACCAGCATAAAGATTGGATTACGCTCTTAGCATGTCCAGCTGATTCAACTTTATGTAAGTGTGTATGCAACTTAGTGTTTCTGCACAGAACAAGTCCGGTTAGTGTGAACACTCAGGTCATATTGCTCAACTTAAAGACACCAAGATAAAATCTTGTATTTCATAAATTGTCTTCAGATGATTAGTCGGTGAACTCTTAACTGCTGTTGCCCTGCATGGTGAGTTCTGCTATCTCAATATATAGCACTAAAGAAAACTCAAGCAACTTAAACAAAGGGATAACTTGAAAATATTACCAGTTATTGCAGAGCAAGTCTTGCATGGATGCTCCCATTCAAAAATGACAGGACTTTTGTTCAATTTAATTGAGTTGATCTGAACTACTATATAGATGACCCCTGAGGGTGAGGAATCTCAAAGAAGTAATTGTTACTTACAATAAGGATGTTTTTTAATTCTATTTGCAATGTGATCTCCTTCAGTATTCCGTAATCAGCCTTCCTTACTACTGAGAGACAGTTATGTTCTTCTCTTTCTGTATCTGGAAAGGGGACACAGTGACATCAAGGGCATAAGGGCAAGTCTGAATACACACTCTTGGCCAAAAGAATTCAAACTCAGGTGCATGAGGACCCTTGAATATTGAGACTGTAACTGATAAATGTTTTGAAGAATCTAATATCATGAGGTAAGTGGCTATTCTTTTTTAAAAGAGTCCATGGTTCCAACAACAGTTCCTTATTTTTGTCAATTTTTAAGTGGGTGTTTACTCTTATCTTTCTATAATTTACAAATTTCCTGGTTTATTTCTGCTTTGAAATACAATACAAATCAAAGGAATGGTCACAGTACCATCAAGTGCATATAGTAAACCTGATTCCTATTATTTGAAAGGACAGAAAAAGCTCTTTTCATTAAAACTTTTTCTAGTAAAACTTGGTCAATAAAACATCAGTGCATTGGCAGTGATTTATGAAAATTGATAATCAGACTTAGTCCTGTATTTTGTATAATTGCAGTTATTTTTAATAGCTAGGTCTTACTGAAAAAATAGTTCTTAAGTGTTCTTTCATCCCGTTAGCTTCTAGTATATCCATTCTCTTTGGATATTCTCTCATTGATGGCCATTTTTCTGTCTTCTTAATATTTTTTTGTTCTAGATTTGAAATAAATGTTCTTTTAAAGAGGTATTCAGCCCTGGATTTTTTAGTTACACAGGACCATCATATATATGTACATACACACACACACACATATATATACATACACACACACACACATATATATACACACACAGGAACTCAATCACTCATTTTCTGAAAATTATTCATAGTTATGTAATTTGCAGTTCACACAATAATTCCTTAAGAGACATCCAGAGGATGATAGACACTGTCTTGTTAATACACATTGCTCTTCTCCAAATAGATATTCCTTAGGCCGAGTAAAATAATGGGCAAAAAATGAAACATTAACAGAGTAAGCACACCAGTTTTCACTTCACTTGCTTTGGTGGATAAATTCTTGGCTTACAACTTAATTGTCCTAAAGTCCACCTCATTTCCTGTCAAAGTTTAGTTGTGTTGCAGAGCTGGCAGAAAGGAAGGACCAGTTGTGCCTCAGGCACAGTGCAAAACTTCATCCATGTGGGCACAGATTTGATATGCAATCCTCTAGTGATAATCCTGGGTTAACCAGCCTCTTATTACTTGCTCCCTCTGCGTCATGCCAAACTGTTGCCACATTATGAACCTTATCAAAGAATTAATGTGATTGCCACTTTCCCATGTGTTATTTTTTGTAATAGTTCATCACGGAGCCCCAAGAACAGCTGGGTTGATACAGTTTGCATAAGTGTGAGGGTGGGATGATTTCCAAGAATGGAACTCCTTGAGAAACATCCCATGGCTACCTAAAGCTCAAATTACCCACAAATCTAACATGATTTATCAAGTGATGTCATTGCATGTGGTTCTGTCTGTTGACTTCAAGGAGAGTGGTAACTTCTGCAGGAGTATAGGAGGAACTAATGAGAAAGGGTCATATGGTAAATTATTGCAGCAACATTTGCACAAAGATGATCATTTTAATTTTGGCCCATTTGTTAAGTTTTTAGGTGAATCTTAATAAATGATGGATGTAGGCTGCACCAGCCAATGGAGCAACAGAAATTAGTGGGCTTTTTCTTGTTTATGTGCAGACTGACAAAAGGCCCCACATCAAAGCTTTCCTAATGTTACAACTTGTTAAAAAGCAGAGCTAAGTAAGTGGGTAAAATGGTAACTCACAGTTTGAGGAGCCAGTAGGAAGATAGATGCACCTTGACCAAAAAAACAACTTGAGGAAGGGAAGATAAAACCCCCATGCATTACAAATTTTGGGTCTTGGCTCTACAAGATTTCAGTATCTAGAATCCTGTTAGCAGTGCCAGTGGCAAGTTTGATTCATACTGGACACCTTAGGTGAATGAAGATGCTCCAACACAACAGAAATGCACCTGAGAATACTTCATTAAAAAAAAACCAAACTAGTTAACTATTCAAAATACAGTTAATTTGGAAATTTTATTTAATAATCTGGTCCTAGAAAATATCAAGACAGTGTCGAGATCATGTTTTCTTTCTGGGAGTTAGGTCTGCTGGGTCAGTGCCAGTTCCATCTCTCAAGGTCTCTTACATCATCCTATAAAGTCTATCTCTAGCTAACTAGAACATGCTGAATGTGATGACATTGCTTAAAAATATTCAATTATATTCAATATAAATCATGTTAGGGATTTTGCTGTCCCCACTTAGCACTGTAGGATCTTCTTGACCCTGATGTTCTGCCATTTGGTTGGTTTTACTTAATGACTCTTTCCTTTGCTACAGCATTGTACAGGTCCCTGGAGTGCCTCCACTCCTTCATTTGGTTTGATAACCCAGTAAAAAATAAGACCAGCCACGCTTTCCAGAGAGCAAAGAAACTGAGGATTTCATCAGAGAAGGTGCAGAAGTACGGGATATGGCTGCTGAGGTACTGGTATGTGGCCCCAGGTGTGCCAGCTCCCTCTCTGAGCAGTGATGTGGCACGCACATGCTCTCGAGGTGCTGGTATAGGTTATGTAGGCTTGCTACCAGGAAAGTGTCCATACATTTTCACTTCAGATTGAATATTTCTTGCCTGTGGGCTTTCGTGCATATTGACAGTAAGATCTTTCTCTGAGGGTGACAAAGGTTTTGGATAGACAGAGTGCCTGTGTGGGAATGAGATGATTTATAACAGACCAATATAAACTAACAACAAAGTCATGCATGGACACGCTCTGCACATATCAAAGCACATTTGTCTTTTATTGCATTAATTTTATGACATTACAAACAGAACAATAATAAGAAATTTGTATTTCATAAGCCTCTCATAAATTATGCAATTTTAATACATGCTGTCTATGACTAAGATTATGTGTACATTGACACTTTCACAAGTTGGTTCAGGTTATCTTTTTCCACACATCTAAGTTCTTTGTTAACATATTAAACAGAATTTAAGATCTGCAAGAAAAAAATCTACTTTACATGGCCACTTCAATGCAATCCAAAAGGGTATGTGTTTGTTATATTAGGAGCTTGTGAAAGAAAAAAGTAACCTGCATCCATTTTCTTTTTGAAGTTTTGCTTAATCTTGCAGTGAGGCAGACCCTGCTTGTATTGATACTGTAAAAACATGAAGGATATCTAGATGCCTTTTTTATTTAAGGCATCTTAATTTTTGAATGTTTGGAGAGGTTTTAGCCTTTTATACCAGTTACACATGTTGAATCTTATTGAGGGAGCTTTCATCAGAAGTTTTAAGTAATTATTATGCTGTTAGTTTTGATAAATTAGTTTGAAGGAAAGTACTCTTCATCAGAATCTGAAGTACTTGGTACCTTTGACATACATCTATTAGCCATATGTCAAGAGATAGTCAAAGAGAATAAAAAGTCAAAGAGATTTTGATTTTGTAATGTGTTGTTCCTTAGAGAGGAGAGGTAAAGCAGTTGTTTCTTGGCTTTCTCTTTCATGTGCCTTCACTTCCCTGTCATCTGTACCTTTGTCCCAGTGACCTCTGCGACTGCTCATGTGAGGTGAGAAGCCTCTTCTTAATGTGGCTTTCACTGTCAGTAGTATTTCTGGTTTAAAGATCCAGTAATGCCAGATTTATCTCATATAATACTGTTCATAGTGCAGGTTTTTTCTAAGAGGGGCCAAAGCAGAAGTGCAGAGGAGAAATACTTTCAATGTATTTTTTTTGCTTTTTCTGCTCTAATTAAATTAGTTAAAAATAATTTACTAACTCTTCTGATTACATTTGGGTTAAAATGAAATTCTACTGGTACTGGTTTGGGGTTGAACTTTCTGAATTTTATTGGTTTACTGCTAATATTTCTGGTTGTGTCTATTTAAAAATTACCACCCCATCTAAGGGCAATACGGGAACATTTCTGTCACTAACCGTTTCAGCAGTAATTTTAGGTGCCGTTCCCTCTGTAAAGCAAACTGATGGCACCAGTGAATTGCCGCAGCCCATGACTTTGTGTAACTATGTGTGATTTGTTCATTGATACTCAGTGCCTTCAGTGACAAATCCCAGGAGAAAACATACCTCTTTTAGTGTAAGGAGAACTTGGGATCAGACACTGATCACGGCGGTCAGCACCGCACCGTGGGCATCTGTCCCAGCGGCGCTCGCTGAATTCAGCCTTTTAGAAAAGCCCGTAACATTTGGTGCTTAACTAAAAGCCTTTTTTTTAAGTGCATGTGGTGGATTGATGTAAAGATGGCACAGACGAAACGCGGCGCGTTGCTTTCGTGTTCCTGCCGCGTCCGCGGGACCCCGGGGCCGAGGGGCCGGCCCCGGTGGCGGTGAGGGCGCGGCGGGCGGGCGGCGCTGCCGGGCCGGCCGCTCGCGGCCCGCGCCCATCGGCCCGGCAGCGCCGCCCCCGGCGGGCTCGGCCGCGCTCAGTGCGCGCTCCGCGCCGGGCCGCGCGGGCCATGCCGTGCGGCCAGCCCGACAGCGGGGCCGCCCCGGCGCGCTACGTGCTGGGGGTGGACGTGGGCAGCACGGTGGTGAAGTGCCACGTCTACGACCGGGCGGCCGCTGTCAGGGGCTCCAGCTCCAGGAAGGTGAGTGCGGGCGGGTTGCGGAGCGCGGGCCGGGCCGGGCCGAGCGGCGAGAGCAGCCGGGGGCAGCACCTGCCTGGGGAGCCGGGCGGGGCCGAGCGTGCTCTCCCTGCCCCAGCGGGCCCCCAGAGGCTGCGGGGTTGCCCGTCGGGGCTCGGCGGGGCCGGCGCTCGCCGGCTCTCGGCCAGCTCGGCTGGTCCCAGTGCGCGGCATCCCCCGAGCCAGGGCGGACAGGAGCGGCTCCGGCTCCCGGGGGGTGAAAGGAAACCCACAGGCCCGCTCCCCGCCGGGACCACCGGAGCGCTCACCCCCTCCCACCTTTCCCGGTAATCTTACCTTCGGTCACCTATCGACTAATCTCTGTCTGAACAAAACCACTTTTGTTAGCAGGGCATAGCGGAGATTTACTTAGGACTTACGGTTACTCGCGTCCCGTCATCTAACAGCACTCTGTGAAAAAGTGTCAGCTTTAGAACATGAATTTCAGGCTGCTTTTGGTTTGTACAGCTTGTGATTTTAAGATTAAGGCAATCTCCAGAATTAACTGTTTTTACTGTTACCTATTGCAATGAAACCCTTGCAGTAAGGAAAAGTATAAGAAATCTGATGGATTTTGGAGATGGAAGGGGCTGCCCTGGATAGAGCTGACCCTCCCCGACACTGAAAGCTCATCTGGCAGGTGATCCCTGCCCTACTGTGCTGCCACTGAGAAGCTCAGAGGCATCGACGTCTGAATTAAGCAATGCAGCAGAAACGACTTTCTGAGACACCTGCTTCCTTCCTCAAAGAGGTTTTACAGGTTCCTTTATTCCAAGAGGTTTGGACTTCCTTATTTCAAGGGGTGTGAGCTTCTTTATTCCCCCGGAACAAAGGAGTTCTTCTACAGGTCACACACCCATGTTGAGCAATGTTTTAAAAGTCGCACTGTTGTTTCTACTTTTACAGAAGATTCACTAAATGAAGAACAAAACAAAACAACCCAAATTCAAATATATTTACTGATTTCTAGGGATCATAATAAAGCTATTTGTGTTTCCCGAACAGGTAGAATCACTTTATCCTCGTCCTGGATGGGTTGAATTAGATCCTGAAGTGCTGTGGAGTCAATTTATTGGTGTAATAAAAGAGGCTGTACAAGGTAAGGGCTTAAATTTTGAGAAATTATTTATTTAAAAAATTAATGAAGTTAGTTACTTCGATAATAAAACCATTTCTTAGCTAGTACTGAAAATCATCACTGGGCACAGGACTACAACATGCTTTAAGGCCTATTCAATCATTATGTAAATAAAGGTTCTTCAATCACCTTTTTCCTTTAATAGGGGCCAGATTAGTATTGAAGTAGAAGCAATGTGAATACTTGATTTATGCATCAGTACCAGCACTTTGTTGCTCCAGCTTTTTGTATATGCATCCTTCCCCAGTGTCTGTTCCTCCAGATGCCTCTGTGCAGGAACAGAGAGCAGCCTTGTTCCCCTTCCAGTGCCCCATTGTTCTACCACCACTTTGTACGTGTGAGTGAGAATGAATGCAGGATGCTGCAGAGCTGGGCTCATTTGATTGCAACCTGATATTCCTCATTTTCCCATTCAAACTTTAAGTGGCTCTTACTATCCTATTCCCATATTTATGTTCTTTTCTATTTGTACTTTAGCCTAAAAATTCCTAGTGCTCCACACACTGAATACATACAACTCCCTTTTCTGACAAACCTCTCGTGGGTTTTTTCCCCCCACTTTTCTGGATGCTGCTCTAACCTAGCTCTTACTCTCTACAACTCTCACAGCTTTCAGATTAATCTACCTCTAGTGTTCTGCCATCTATCCTGGATCACCTATGCCACGTTGATTCTGTGAACGTGTCAGCTGGGCCCCAGCTTGCCCTGCCACAGTGCCCCATCCTCCTTGGCCTGTGTGTGCACATTGCACTCTTTCATTCAATTCATTCAGTTCCTCATGTTCAGCCCTTCTTGCTTGGTCTCCAGTGTTGCTCTGCCTTCAAACATGGCTCATGGCAAAACTGCTTGTCCCTTCCCTTGGAAGGCTGCCTAAGGAACAGGGAAAGTAAATATCACCAGGTGTAAGATGAAGCTGATTATTTTGGGCTCTTGGTTTGTTTTGTCAGCAGCCACAACTGTTTGGTCATGAGAAAAGCAATGCCACCTAAACCCCCAAAGACCTTACTGTCTTCCTTCATTTCCATTCTGTGGGACAAGTCAGGAAGCAAGACTTTTCAGCTAGTTTTAAAAAGGGAAGATTTCCTTGTGGCCAAGCTGCACACATTGTTGGCAAGTCATTTTTAAGTGGGTGTGTAAGCATAGCTCACAGTGCTGTCGTTTTTTACAGAGTTGTTTCTAGTCTAGTGCAGCTTCCTGAGTCAAATCACTGTCCGGTTATTTATGCCAGCAGAGCTTCACCAATGTTTATGCTGACGCAAGAGAGGGTGTGGTAGCAGGGGCAGGAATGACTGTCTGCAAGCAGAAGGGACACAGTGACACTTGGGTTTGCTGGGCTTGCGGAGCTAAACGTCATTCCATGCACGTGTGGATGAGATGCTGTAGTTCAGTACTACCTAAAGGTGGAAGCTTCTGGCTGCACGGTCTGTCTCTTACTGTGCTCCTCCATCCAAAAGACAGAGTAACTGAAAAATATCCATGTTTATCTTTAGGTTTGTTTTTGTCTGTAGTGGAAGTTAGCTCCACTTACATAGGTGTCTGGAGAGCACGATAGTTGACACGGGGAAAGTGGCAGGACCATGCAGATTGTGGGAAGGGGTAACGCATGTCAGTAGTCCTTAGTGAGCTGTGGAAGTACTTGAAAGCTGTGGCTTTGTCTGAAAAAGAAATAGAGCTGTTCCCAGGCCACCCACTCCCAGGTCCTCCTCCCGTACCCTCCTGCTACCAGCAGCACTTGTGCAGGCAGGTGGAGCAGGTTGCCTTTCGAAAGCACTGGTTTAACTTTCAGCTGATTGAGGAATTGATAGCACTGCTGGCAGGAATGCAAGGACCCAGTGTAAGGGGAGGTGCAGAAGCACACATAGAGTTGGGTAACACAGGATATGCCCTTTCTCTGTGAAACCCCTTCTGTAATTGTCACTGAGAGGGTGCTAGGTGTAGAGTCTGCACAACATGCTCACACAAATGAGCAACTTTGCATGTACAAATTAACATGAGAACACGTATGAGCAAGACCTACTTAACCTGTGATTTGTTCAAGGAGCTGGATTGAGAGCCCTTCAGAGTAACAGTACTTAGGACAGGGTGGGTAATCTGTCATTTAAGTGGAAATTTTTTAATGTGTATTTTCTTAATGTCATTTTGCTTCTGTAAGTATGTCTGGAGGTAATTAGCAAGCTGACCAGAATTGCTTTGAAAATGGCTATGGACATATTTAAGTATTTACACTTACATTAGAAAAAGTGTTCTGTAACAGTTATTTAAAGGTAAGATTTAACAACAAAATTGATGTATATCCAAATGCACATTTTTGTACTATTGACTTTAAAGTATACATTGTTGCATTCAGCGCTACCTGATTTAAGCAAATTCTTTCTTAGGAATTTTGAAACATTGCTTAAGAAATATTTAAAGTGAGACGTCATTATCAAAGTGATGCAAAAAGTTATGGTGTATTCATACTAATCTATTTACTGCCTGCAGGATCATTATAGTTTTGTTTCTTTATAGAAATTCTTTCCCTAAGTCTGTGAAGATACTTCCCTTAGTGCTTTTGTTCACATTTATCCATGTGAAATACACATTTTAATTGATTACGTGGACATACATAATCTGTCTGCCTGTCTCTGGGATTGTTCGTATAAATTATCAGCAGGCCTTTCAGAGGGTGGAAAGGGTCCATGTGCCACAACTGCTTTTGCAAAATACATAGGTTTGTTCATCTGCTTTGGAATCAGTTGTCTCACTCAGCGCTCTCTAATGTTTCTCTGCTCTTAACACTCAGTTGAACAATTTGTAGAGATTTATATTCTCACAAACTATTATTTTCCTAAGTATTCCATAGATTTTATAGTTATATTGGGGAAGTTATATTTTTGTTTGCTTCTCCAAATAAATGCTTGTTTTTTGATTGTGATTTATTTTTGATTTTTAGCTGCAGGACTTCACATGAGGCAAATTGCTGGTCTTGGCATTTCCACCCAAAGAGGAACTTTCATTACATGGCACAAGTATGTATGTTGTGTGTTCTTTAAAATGAATTTGTATTCATAGACTGGATGGAAAAAGGCTGTAGAAGTTTTGAACTCAAAAGTAAAAATTGTCAAGTCACTCATCTTCTCTTGTGTTTGCACAGCCACACCTTACTGCAGTTCAGAACAGATCCTGAGTGTGTGGCCTTTTTGTTCTTTATACATTAGAAGAGATGAATACATATATATTTTTTAGTTCTGGTGAGAAGTCTGACACTCCAAACGTCTGTGTGCTGATTTAGTAACTCCTCAAATCCACCAGGAGGATAAGCAGTTATTATAGGACTAACCTAGTGTTTATTGTCCTGATTGGAAATGGTGAATAATGTTGAATGTTTTGGGCAATTTGTGTTCTCTAGTTTTAATTGCTGAAATACTGTTTTTCAGGAGGACAGGGAAACCCTTTCATAATTTCATAAGTTGGCAAGACTTAAGAAGTGCTGAACTTGTGAATTCCTGGAATAACTCCCTTCTGCTGAAGGTAAAACTGTGCTAGTCTGGATAATGCTTGGATATATTAGACCTGTTTAACTTTTATAACAAGTGAGGGCAATATACAGAATACTGCAAGTGTCCTGTTCACATGGTGATGTGATGTGCTGAGGCCATCATTTAACTGAGCAATAAACATTTAAGGGAGTAATATTAGCATGGAAGATAGTTTCAAGAAAAAAGGTTCAGTACTGGTAGCCTGAAGTAATTATTACAGGAGAAGATACCTATAGGTCTAAGGCTCATTTTGTTACTTTTTAATCTATTACCTTAAAACGTTGCATGTTGACTCCACTACAGCGTAGATTGTGGATGTAGGTAGGTCTGGGTTGGAAGTAGTTTGGGCTTTTGGTTTCTTGGTTTGTTTTTTTTCATGTACCCTTTGCTTATATTATCTATAAGAGGTACATTTTATGCTGTTTGTGGCTTGTGCTTCATACCTTTAGAAGAGAAAGATTTGCTCTAAGTGCAAAAACAGAAGTTACTTTTCCTCTAAGTGAAAACTAACCATCACAGTCACAATAAGAAATTAAATTATTTGGTTTACCAGTTACTTCTTTTGTGAAAACTTGATTAGTGATTAAATTTTGGTAAATCTAGTAAGTCATAATGAGCCTGCCAACTGTAAGAGAACTTCCATTGGAATAACAGCGTGTAATGCCGTCAGCCACATCATGCATTGATTGTACTCACAGAGGTGACCAGTGTTGGCGATGCAGAGCAGTGGCTGTCAATGGTCCAGCAGAAGGTGCTAAAGCAGCTTTGCTTAGTGCAGCTGCTCTTTCCTGTGGTGTGTGTTGCAGGAAAGCTGTCTGTTGATATGAAGATCCTTACATAATCCTGCTCAAGGATCCTCTAAAGGAGTTTTAGCTTTCTGAATCTGATCTCATGTCAGCAGCTTTCATCTGTGTTGTCATCCTTTAAAGGTATTTGATCAGTAACCTTTAAAGGGCAAGATTAAAAATTAAGTAACTGTTTTCTTTTGAAACAGGTAATCCATGTTATTTTTACAGTGCTTCATTTCTTGACTGGGAGTGATCGATATTTGGCACCCAGTTTTCTTACTTTTTCAACTCATCAAGCTTCTATGAAATTGTCATGGGTTTTTAAAAACATACATGAGGTAAGCTGGAGAGGGAAAAGCAATAGGTTTCTTAAGTCATAATGATGGCTTGTGACTTGGAGGTGTTCGGGGCCAGGCTGGATGGGGCTTTGAGTGACCTGGTGTAGTGGAAGGTGTCCCTGCTCATGACTGTGGAGCTGGAACCCTTTAAGGTTCCTTTGATTCCAGGCCATTCCGTGATTCTGTGACTATTGGCAGTAATTGCTTCAGTTTTGTTTTGCTCATTCTTCACAGAAGAACCAGAAAGGATTTTTTTCTGTGTTAATGTTCAAAGCCTGTCTACCTAAACAGTAACTTACATTTGTACAAAGTTTTCCTCTCATTCAGGAAATGTGTCATAATTAAAAGCTTTCTTCATACATAAGCAACATAATCATCTTATTTCATTTGATACATTTATACAGTTAGTGATTGTACTTTGTTTTAAAGCTGTTTGCCCTCTGGTTTTGCATGATGATTTTATTTATTTCCAATGGGACCTCTTACCTTTCCATACTGCATTATGCCAGTGTTTTGCAGTTTCACAAATACTACCATGGTGCACAATTCATTTTGCATTTTTCTGAATTGGAAAATGCATGTAGAATAAGTTGTGCTGGATTAATCTAGTGGACTAATGAGCCCTGAGCTATGTATTGTTATATTCATTGCTCTAATACTCACCATGCAGGACTTTGTTTTCTTTATCTACCACTCTTTCACCACTGCTATAACTGTGACTGTAAATTTCTTTTCATAAGGCTATGATGCCCTTACAGTAGAGGATTACTTGCTTTTCTTTCCCTTTCCTTAGCAACAGCTGTAAGACAGTGTTCTTATTTTCTTCTAGGAGCATGAAGTTGAAGGATAATATTAGTTAAATAGCAAACTTAGTTTTTTTGAAGAAAAATTTACAATAAGGAACTTATTATCTGAGAACATTATGATTAATCATTAAGACAGTAACAAATCAATAAATACGCTTCTCTTATTGTACCCAGTTGTAAATACTTTTTTTTTTCATGTATTTTTTCCCAGGCTGAAGAAGCTGCCAAAAAAAACAACTGCTGCTTTGGAACAGTTGACACATGGTTATTGTATAGATTGACTAAAGGTGAACATTACAGTTCCTCTTAAATATCAGTAAAACACACTGGAATCTAAGAAATTATGTTCATTACTTGTCATTTATCTATCCTAGAATTCAGATACTTTTTTTGCAATTTGTGATTTTGTATATTTGATAAAAAATGGTAATGTATTTACTGTTACAAAAAGAACTTCTGAATAAATTATTCTTTGGGCCTGCCTGGAAGGGATATATTTATTCAGTGTAATCTAAATGTATAAGATTTAAAGAGGACTAACAGAGTTAATTGGTGTTGATTGAAGAAAAGTACCTGTGAAAGCAAAAGAACAAAGAATTGTTACAAATGTGGAAGAATTACAAGTTTCAGTCCTGAGGACTAATGCCTGAGGGGTCAGATTATGCTTGTGATGCAGTTGTTGTGATGCTGTTGTCTGTTCTAGACAGGTTCATAAGAGGAAATAGAGTAATTAATCTGTGCACAGCATAGTGAGCAGCAGATAAAATCTCTGTGCTGATTTTATCATTGTGATTTTGCTCATACACACTTGATTTATATTTCATGGGAGTCAGTGAGATGCTTAAAGAAAACTCTTAAAATATTTGAGTGTCTAAAAATCTTTGTTCTTTCTTTTCATGCTAGGTTCTGTGTATGCTACAGATTACTCAAATGCCAGTTCTACAGGCATTTTTGAACCCTTTACGGTATGTCCTGCTCCCAAAGAATGTTGTTGCTACTTATTGTGCTTCTCAGACAGATACTAATGTTTTTACTTTTTCCATTTCATTTCAGAAATGCTGGAATCCCACTTTGTGTAATCTACTTTCTATTCCAGTGTCTATTTACCCATCAGTGAGAGACACAAGGTAACTAGGAAGGTATAATTAAAAGAATATTATAACTATTAAATTAATTGCTAAATTAATTATGATTAATTAAGAAATACAAAATATTCTGCACAGGCCAAATAATACACACGAGCACAAAAATAATTTTATATGCAGTTTACCTTATATTAAAAGTATAAAAAATGCAAAACTTTTTTACTGTATTTCTTAAAGTGATAGTTATAATGTTTTCTTTAAAATAAGTCAGTAGCATTACCTCTTATGTGTGATCCAGACCCAGGCTGTATGTACCTAGATTTCATTTTAACAAAAAGGTCATTTTCATGTGATTCGTTTTAAGCTTCAACTTTGGATCAACTGACTCTGAAATATTTGGGGTACCTATTCCAATAATGGCAATGGTAAGTGAAAATACGTTCTTAAATCTTTGTGTTTATACTCTATTTGGTTTTGATTTAGTACTTGCTTCTTTCATTAGTATTCTCTATTGATTCTATGTGACTTAACTACAATAGAATTGATTGTTGAATTTTTCTCCAAAAACCCAGTCTACAACCTTAAGCAGAAGGAGGAGAAAGGAACAAGAAGGGATTTCTAGATGTTGAGGTCCACTAAGGTTGTGTGACCAAATTATTAAGTACTTAATGTAGGACTCTAAGCTCTGGTAACGTGTGTTTGGCTTAAAATCAGTTGTTCTGTATAAAGTTATGCAAGAGTCCATTCTGGCTTGACTTCAGTAACACCAAACAACTGTAAGAGTATTTGATAATAGATCCACTTGTGGTACCTTTTATGCCTTATTTATTTTTCACTAAAAATAAGTGTCAAATAACATGTGCTTTCCTCAGGAGTTAGAATTTGGATAAAGTGATGATTTGGAGCAAAATCTGCTTGAATTGAGCTAAATGAAAAAACTGTCTCCTAGCTAACCTGAATTTGTCTTGATTTAAAGTACTGTGGACTAAATCTAGATGTAAATTTACTATTTCACCAATGCAAAAATGTAAGTAAATAATAACCATAATATAATAACCATAATCATGGTTGAAAAATAGAGCATGGAGTAATTTGGTACAGGAGGAGTATCAAGGAAAAAGGAAGACAAGACCTCAAAGCTTCAACTTTCGACGTGGAGAAAAATGAATTCAGGCCAAGCTATTCTGTTCTGCTCCCTGAGATTGTAAATGCCTCCCTTATCCTTGTTAAATATTAACCACAAAATACTTATTTTGTTTCCATAATCTTTTTCACTGTTGCAAGGAGTACTACAGACACTTCACATTGTGAAGCCTGGTGTAATTTGATGCCAGTGATCAGTCTGACTGTTATAATGGCCTGCAAATGCTTAAGAAATTGTAAATGAATCCTCTCAGAATGCTCAGTTCCTGAATGGTTACTTGTGTTCAGAAATCCAGAGTGTTTACAGAGATATTTTCAAACCCAGCGTGGCAGGTTGGTAGTCAGTAGCTGACTTGTCCCATTATTTTTGTTGGATTGACAGGTAGCTGATCAGCAGTCAGCTATGTTTGGAGAATGCTGCTTTCACCCAGGAGATGTTAAACTGACAATGGGAACAGGTGGCTTCTGGAATGTGAATACTGGAGAGCATCTCTTTGCATCACGGGGAAGTAAGACAGTGAAATTTTGGTTTTAGGGGATTTTATTCTTTCAGCTGTTCCTTGATAGCTGTTATGCTGAGGGTACACAAAAGAATAGAACAGGGCTGTGCTTTTCCTTCTGTCTGTTAGTGTAGAAAAACAACTTGGTAGTTCTTTCAGAGGAAAAGACTGTGGAAAATTTTAATTAGCAATGTAAATTTTGGTTATGCTAAAGTAAACTTCTCAGGAAGAGAATTTAATTAGCATCATTAGTAGTTATATCTGCTACCAGCACCCCTCCTGTTTTGGTTTTTTTTTTCCTTCACCTGTTCTTCATAGCAGTGTTACACAGGATAGGAGAAAAAAGGGATTGGTCCTCTGGCTTCTCATGTCAAAATATTGCAGTGAATCACTGCAAGCTGCTCCCCTTGAGCCCTTATGCATTGAAGCACCTGCAATAATGCAGGGTTAGAAGTTGTAAATTGTCTTGTAAAATGGGCTCTCCTGTGTGTTTCTAGTGTTTAAAACTTTGTCATTCTGAACATCTGTGGTCTGTCAAGTAATTTGTCAGAGATAGCTATTTGTCAAGAGAGCAAACACTGAAGATGACACTGAAATAAATTTGCCTACACAGTCTCGCTCTGTCTGATATTTTTAAAGAGTTACTAATTTCAGGATGTCTACTGCTTAAAATGGAGCGGGGCTGGGAAGGAGGACAGCAGTGTGATAAAGAGAATTTTACCAGCTCAAGTCTTGAAGGACCTTGGCAAATACTTGAGATGTGTCAGAACTGAATAGCATAGACATTGAATTCCCTATGAATGCAAATGCTTTTTACGCTAATTAATTATGTCGTTATTATGATATTTTCATTTAGGAAATACTGTATATGTAGTTAGTTAAAATGTAATAGCAAAAAACACACTGTAAAGTTTTTCAATTTAGGTATTGTAGTCTGATAGGAGTTAAAATCTTCTAAGGCAGTGCTGTGAAACTTTTACTGCTTTAGGCTGTTACTTTTGTTAAAATTATTTTCCCTATGTTCTTTAGCTGTCATGGGGTATGGTTAGTGGGACAAGTTAAGTGCCTGGCTTTCTTAGTGCCCTGGGCATGAAATGTAGTGTGTTCAATCTTTAAAGCTGACATATGTATTTAAGACTGCAAGATGAATCCCTGCAGCATCTTTGTGCAAGCTGTTCATTAGCTGCTGTTCTAGTTTCTGCTCTACTTTTAGCTCCTACATATAACAGTTAAAAAAAAAAAAGGAAAACAAAAGTAGTTCCTTCAAGAGCAGCCCATCTCACAATTCATTGATGGAATCATGTTGTATAGGTTTAAAGCTACCTCTGGTAGTCTGAAGCTTCTTAATATCTCTGGTCATGCCAAGTGTCATGGGGATCCCTTCCCTAGAGGTAGGATTATGTTACACTGCTAGAATCTCTGGTGTAAGCATCTTTAGGGAAGCCACGTGATAGATGGATGTCTCTGTCCCTAATTAGCTGTTCTTTTTAAGGATCTTTGTCTTGATTAATTTTTTGGGCTTATTTTCTTTGTGAATCTACCTTTGGTAAAAAATAAAGATTTCAAGGGACACCTGCATGGAAGATTTGGAGTTATATATGTTAACATTCCCCTTTCAAGAGACAAATACAGATATTAATCAGTGCTGGCTTACATTATAAGCACCAGAGTGCTCCTAGTACTAACACAAGTTTCTGCTATTGCACTGGTACTCCCATGCAACTGATTTGCACACAGGCAAACAAACTGGAGATGATTCTATGAGGAACACATATATCAGCAAAGTCACTTTGAGAAAGCAGAGAGAGCCCCTAGATCCTTCTGATGCGTTTCTGGTCCTTGTAAAGGTACACTGGGACTTGTTTACCTTTGTTGCATTACCCATGATCTCTGAATCCTCAGCTGGGCTCCAGAAAGTACAGGCACTTTGTTCACTCCAACAGTTACTGTGCTGGATTGGGTGGGGTTGTTACAGTGACTACTGTCTACTTGGGTTCTTATCTAGTGACCTGAAAAGCCATTTCTCTAGCTGAAGTGCAGGTAAAAGTTGTTTTCTTTTTAGCTTTCTGTGTGAGGAAGCATTGCATATTAAACAGGGAATTAAAAAGTACATCACTTTCATCCTCTTCTGTGAATAAGATCTGTGCTCTAAGTTTGTGTTACTTTTTTTGTGTGTATATGTCTGTTTCAGTTTTATATTTCCCATTCATGCTTTATGTTTTGAGGAAAAGCACTCTGACTTTTAGAAACCCTTTAGGTATGCACAATCTTTTATGTAAAAAACAAAAGTAGGCACAGATGGATCTTCAGTTTAAAGGTGTTTTTTGGTAATTTGATAGCAATTTTTTTAGGTTAACTTTGGTCTAACAACCTGTTGCTCAGTTCTCTTGCTATCCCATCACTAAAGTTTTAAACAGCACATTTAACCTCTACCAGTGAGGACTTTAGTTGGAATTCTACAAAGGAATTGATATTTTTTAGGTGGGTTTATTGTGAGAAATGTTTGTATATGTTTTTCTGGAAACAATTATTTTAACTGAATGTTTTGTTTCATGGAAAATAATTAAGGTCTTTATCCACTGATTGGATGGAAGATTGGGGAAGAAGTTGTTTATTTAACTGAAGGCTCTATATCGGACGTCGGCACTGCCATAAAATGGGCTCTGGATATAGGTAACTTCTTTCATTTTATAGAGTGAATTATGTAACTTTAAGAAGCTGTTTTGTGGGTTCATAGGTGTGTCACTAGGTCTGATTTTATTATTCATAACTGAAGGAAGGTAATCTTCATGCTTTGGACAGCAGAAATGCACAGTCCTTTAAGTAGGCACTCTGCTGAGGGTGCTTGCTGCAGGGAGTTTAGTTTGCACAATCATCTTCTCTTCAGTCTCTGCTTCAGGCCATCCTGTCTAACTAACTTTTATTTTCATGAAACATTTTACTCCTCACTTGCTTTTGAGAGGTCTTGAGCTGTACATCTCATAACTAATAACAGGTTTGATTTATATGAAGATAACATGAAGAATTTTGCAAGTAACTGTTGCTTCACATGGAAGTAATGTACCTTTTGGCTGTTGTTATTGTTTTGTAATAAAAGGTTTTGCATTCCAGTTTAATGACAGACTAAAGAAATACTACCTCTGTCGTAGCTGATGTTCAAACCTACTGATTGTTCATAGGACAACTGTTCTCAGCATTCTAATTAGAACTTGAAAATTTACTTGGCTTACTTAGAAATTGAGTACATTCTTTACTAGGATGAGAAAAAAGTGATTAATATCTCAAAACTTTGGACTGTCTGGGGAGGATTTTCCTCAAGTGTAACTCACCACAAAATTCCACATTTCTTGAAGCTGTCAGTTTTAGGTGCATGTGTACATCTATATGCCTGGTATGGATCCCTAAGGGTTAAGTATGACCCAGATTGGTCCTCACATCTTCATCCAGCATATGACTAAGCCTAGAGAGTAACAGCTACTAGGCTTTGGAGGAAATTACTCAGTTCAGTACACAGCTCAGTGCTGCAGTCTCAAGTGTCAGTGCTACATATGTAAGCTTGCTACTTCAGATTCCAAAATTAAAATGGGTAATTATCCATATGGAACTTATCTATACTTAAAATAGGTATCATTGGTATATGCAGAAATATAAAAGATTTTTAGGTAGTCAGTAGTGAAATGATCATGACCTACTGTTGCTACCATAGGAAAAAAAAGGGGGGAAGTTTTAGAGATGGGATAAATAAAAGGCAAGCTGCTTTAAACTCTGTAACTAGTAAGGCCTTTATTTCTGAAAGTATTGTTGCAAAGAAGTAGAATTGAGAAACTTTTATCAGCTTTAGAGAACAGAAAAACTTTAGCTCTACAGAAAGAACTGGGCCAAAACACAAGGTAAGCTAATGGCCTCAGTAAGGGTGGTGAGGCTCAGTATGGATGAAGATGAGACACAGTGTGGAAGGTTTGGAAATAGTAATTTTTGCAGCAAGGCAAACTTAGTTTAGTGGACTTCTTTTAGCGGAATCCTATAACTTGTAAGAATTTTTAAGAAGTAGTAGTATGTGGAATTTCATCATGAAGTCAGTCTTATTTAATTTTTGATCTGTCCTGGCATAGAGGTACTACATGTTTAATTCAGTAGTAGCAAAGACAACAAGAAGGAAAAAAATTGTGGTTTAGGTTTGTTAGTCTGAACACAGTAGAATCCATCATTTTCCCACAAATTCATAAAGGTTACAAAGGTAAATTGAAACTCCTGATACATTTACCACAGTGGACTTTTCAAAGGTAAGTTGAGCTAGATTAAACTAGTTTACCTTTAATAGGAAAATTCACCTTTTTAGACAAGAAAAAGCAGTATCATGTACAGAAGACTTCTAGTCTTCTGTAAAATCACGTTTTGTGGCCACATAAGGACATCATTAGTTAGAACTGTGGAAGAGGGATGTTAGTACAAGAAGTGCATGTGGGTGAAGAACAAGCTAAAAAGCAGTTTCTGTAAAGTTATGAAAGGAGTCATCTGACTGGACAGAGAATAAAAGCAGTGTCTATCCAAGAGGCATTATTGTGATGAGAGCTGCTGTATTACCTTTTGTGTCACTTGTAAAGATAGTAAGAGTGCTGATAAAATGTGGGTATTAAGGATATTCTCTGTAGTTATGTGGTTGGACTGACAGTAACAACATGGGGAGAAAAAATATGTTCTATGATTCTAAGGTTTTATCACTCTTAGGTGCCACTATAATTTTTAATTCCCATTTATGTCTTGAAGATTAAAAGGCTGCAGCACAGTAAATAGGACAGGATCCTTTCAAGTTTAGCCTTCATCTGAATAGTTTGGGATTATTGATGTGACCGATGGACATGAAATAGAGAAGAGATTGTCTCCCTTAGAACATGCAGTTTGAAAATACTAAAAAAGGAGTAGTGTGACTCTAGATGTTTTTCTCTTAGTGAGACAAAATGAAGAAATTGAAGGAAATAATAACTTCCTACAACCTGTGTATCTTTACAGAACTTTTCACCAATGTAGATGAAACTGCAAAAATGGCACAGAGTACTGCTGATTCTCAAGGTGTTTGTTTCATTCCAGGTTTTCAGGTAAAAATATTATTAATAAAATCAAGATTATATTTTATTAACCCAATTAAAAATTAGGCTTTACATTTTTAAAGGTAATAATTTACATCTGATCGCAGTATTTATTATGTACTGTTGAGGTGGTTATTGTCTGTTGCTCATGGCAATACATGAAGGCCATTGTCATATCAGAGTAATTAAATGCCATTCCTCCCCTTGAGAAAATCAGTGATGGGCAGGTAGACTAAATTATTTTCCTCTGGTAGCACAGGCAGTGCCTGCAGAGACACAAACCAATGTCACAGCTTCTTTGCTACGATGGGCAGAGCTTTCATTGAGACAATCTAATCACTGTCCTAAAATAATTTATTTTATTCTGCCTTTTTTCAAGGTGTAGGTTGTAACTCATCAGAATATTTAGAAGTATCTAAATATTAGCAAGATTGCAAGTCCTGGCATTATGAAAAGCAAAGGTAATACTTGCCCACTACTCCTGGGAATGATCAAACTCAGTATAATAGACTTCTCTCTCAGAAGTCTTAGTAATTGTTTGGCTTCAGTGATATGAGCTCATCTCTCGATGTGTTGCTAAAAGTCTGAGTTAACCATACTCAGTCTGATCATTCCCAGGACTAGTGGTTTTTTATGAAGAAGCTTGACATCTTACCCTTACCTTTGTCCAAATTCTGTATGCTAATGGAACAAAGCAAAGAAGAATTTAATTTCTTCTCCAGATAGCCCAGCTTCCTTCAGTGTCACTGATAACAGGCTGTAGCATACATCCATATAAAGTATTATTGTTCTTTTCATATTACTTTTGAGGGTCAATTCATTTTTTTTCAGGAGTTCAGGAGGGGGGTGTGTGAAATCTTGTTAGAGAACAGCAATATCAGCAATATGAGTGTGCTCTGTCCTAGACAATTGGTGTACATTTTAAATGTATTTTAAAGGGAAATTGTATGGATTAGTCTTTTTTAGTTTGTCTGATTTGGAGAAAGTCACTTAAACGTTTTGCTGTTGAAAGAAGCAATTTAAACTGTTTGCTGAATAAGCTAAAATAACACTATATACCTCTTACATATTGTTCTCAATTTTCTTCTTTCACTTATGCTGCCTGTAATTGTCGTAAGTTATTTTTTTCTTACTCTTTAACTTCTTTTACAAAAGCCTACAAATACTGTTCCCTGAACTAATGGTGACATCTTTTCTGCAGGTTTCTGGGCATGACCCATATTTATGTGCCTCTTTCATGGGGCTGAAACCTTCCACTAACAGAAACCATCTTGTTCGAGCTATATTGGAATCTGTAGCTTTCAGGTACTGCATGCTAAATTATCTGGCTTGCATTTTCTTATGTAGAGATCTGAAGCCTTCTCCCATTAAATGAAATGGTTTCAGGAAAAAGTCAAAACTTTAAGGCTTCAGATATTCCCCTTACAGAATAGCTGGATAAACTCCAGTTAGCACTGTTGGCCTACTTTCCTCACTCTAAGCCACTTGTTACGTCAATGATTGCATCTCTAGAAACCTATCAGTAACTTTCAGTGGGAAAAATGAACCTTCTACAGTACTTGCTGTAGAGTGGGTCATGATTTAGCCACACTTTGCCTTTGTAACAGTGACAAAGACCAAACATCAGTTTCACTGGGTTTGGGTTTTTCATTTACCCATTCTAGAAACTTTACAGCTATTGCAGCCATTCTAACAGAACCGAGGTCTTTCTTGCCTTCGATTTATTTTCTGACTATGTAGATACTGAAAATACTTTATGGAATATGTAATGATTAATTCAGCTCAATATTTTTTTAAAGAAACAAACTGCTTTATGATATTATTGTGAAGAAGGTGCACATTCCTCTTCGAACTATTCGGTAAGTTCCCTGTAACTCTTAAATTAGATATATGAGAGTTTGATTTTAAACAGGTTTGAGCTTTATTATGCATTTTCTTTTACTGTAAAAATTCTGCTGTTTAGAAGTAGATGATTTCCAAGTCAAATGTTAATGTAACTGAAGCAGCAGTATAGTCTACCTACAGTTATTGGCATTGGTGATTGTTAGTGTGGAAGTAATGAACTACTCTAATTATTGGAACACAATTTAAAAAGAAGGCATATCCATGTTTTCAGGTAGCACTAGAGTGCATATAGCAATGCACAAAGGTCATTCTACCCTTTGTCATTCTTTCATACTGACATTTTCTGTGTTGGGTCTTTCACAGACAATTGTTTGAAGACATTGGTTAAAACTGGTTCTATTTAGGAGAGAAAGAGGGAGATTAGTTTTAGAATTCAATTGTTAAGACATCTGTTTTGCTTTAGTCTTTGAAGAGCCATATGGAATTTAGTGAGGTAACTGTAATCCCTAGAATATGCTTGCACAACATTTAGCTGAATCAAACAATGCTGGAAGAGCACATTTCACATTTTGATAGGGACTTTCTCTGAGTACACCAGTTGTCAGAAGCTCCAGCCCTCTGAGGCTCAGAAAGTTCTGCAACAAAATTCCTCCCTCGGACAGCCAGGGGTCAGCATGGCACTGCTGTCAGGAGCAGAGGTGAGCATTCCCATCCCTCCTGTGCCTCTGCAAAGGAAGAACAGACTGGCAGGCATGTCAGAATCAGACTATCAGTGGGGGAAAATAGTGAGAATACAGAAGTGGGAGGAGGTAAAAGTTTCTGCTTTCCGTCACATACTGGGAGAGAGTAGGCAAAGGGGAAGAAACAGCCAGGGGTAGGGGTTTAATAAAAGATGTAAAGTACCAGAACTTTGATTACTTAGGAAGCTTTTTAACATAGGAAATGTGAAAAGTCACATTAAAAGTGCAAACTCTTAAAAAACGGAAAGTATAGAAATACAGCCTAGGGAGCATTAGAATACTGATTCCATTTACATTGCAATATAAACCTTTTATTGTATGCTCATGTTATTTTTTTATTCATGGATATAAAATTATAGTTTTATACAGTGTCTGTATTACTTAACTAAAATCAGTAGCAATTCAGCTTGTGGATTAAATATTAAAACATAATGAGACACACTCAGTAGGGTTGCAAACTGCTCTACCATCTTTACATCTGCACATCTTTTGCATCTGTCAGTTACCGTTGTTTTTTTTGTTGTTGTTTTTATCCTATAAATTTATTCATTCCTTTTTAAGCTGCTTTCCTGTATTCCTTGTTCCTTCCTGGTCTCTGGGCATTGTTTTCATTAGTCCTCAATGGGTTCTTATTATTTCTCTTTGCTTGTCTCAACACCATCAAGGAAAGCACAGAGCAAGAGCCCTAAGCTTTAGCCCACATCCTACATCTAGTGAGTTTTATTACCTAAGGCTTTCTATAGCAATAAACACTAGAGGTCTTCTCTGCACCACATTTGATAGAACAGCAGCTCCATACACGACTGGTATTAGGGTACAAGGGCATAATGAACCTTCTAGGACATTTCAATGGTTGCCTTTTGTTAGTTTTTGTTTGCAAGATGTTTGCAGATGATTTAAGATCAGCACTGATAAGTTCTCATTTTCTCCATTAAAGTTTTCTCAAATTAGGAAAATAGACAGATGGAAGCCTCATTCTGAACTTCCTGTTAAAAAGAGGCAACTCTGAAGGCATTCTAGCTAACTAATACAAAGATTTGGTATTAAGGAAAACGGTACTTCCTCAGGTCTGAGAACATGTGAAAGGGGTTTGTTTGGTGTAATGGTTTTGACTGTTGTCATATTGTGCTGATAAATTTGTAAAGGTTCTGTTATAAAACCTAATATTTCAGCCAAGAGGATGTATAGTTTTAAAAGACAGAACTTTCAGAGCTTTTGATAGTGTCCTGTGTCCCTGTCTGCCTACCATTCCTCTCCAAGTTTTTCTAAACTATTTTTTTCTTCTTTTTTTGTTTTTTTGGCACCTTGTTCTGTCCTCTAAATTTACCCATAAAGTGGAAATGCATTTGTGCATGAGTGACAGGAAGATTTATGCATAAGTGTGAAATACCAAACGTTGTTTTCTGAAATGCTGGCAATAAGCACTTAACACATTTTTTTAACTACTTCTTTCCTTCTCCCCATAGAGCTGATGGAGGTGTCAGTAATAATAGTTTTGTCATGCAGATGACATCAGATTTAATTAATAAGAAAATAGAAAAACCTGCAAATGCGGAAATGTCTAGTCTTGGTGCAGCTTTTCTAGCAGGCCTTGCTTCAGGTACGTAGACATTAAAAAGGCTTTATTTTCCCCTTTGTAATGCATATTGTAAATACAGTAGAAAAGAGATCAGACAAAAAGAAGGCATAACTTCAAGTAATTGTGACCCTTCCCTCTAAAGGATTACTGTAGCCATTTTTGTGGGAATCTAAGATAAATAGATAAATAGTGTTTATGTTTCTCTGTACAGTACCATTAGAAGGATTTATTAGTAGAGAAGAAAGGTGAGCCCTGTCTTTGCTGCCTCCCCTTCCTTGAGTCAGACATTCCATGTCCATTCCCATACTGGTGCTGCCTTAGTGCTGCTGGCTGGGGATGGACCATGTGGCCAGGGAGCCACCGTGCTTACCTGCAGCTCTGTCACTCCCACTGAGGCTGGGTCCTGTGCTCTGTGAACACAGCCTTTATCCTTTGAGGCTTTCACAGAAATGGAAGTACAAATTAATTATTAACAGGAAAACCAGCTCTAGTCATACAGAATTGTTTCATATTGTTAACAAGACTGAAAGCTATAAATGGTTGATGGTTTTGTTTAATGTGCACCTACAAAACATGTTTTTGTTGAAGTGTTTTGATATGTAAATAACACAAATGAAGGCAAAAATTATATGCTTGGGTAAGACTTATTTAGCAATTAAAAGTGCCAGCCCTTGACAGACAAGAAGGATTTAATAACATAAATTGATAGGAATCTGTAACACCAGCTGTTTCTTGCTATTGATACAATTTTTAAGACAGTAGGAAAGCAGCTAAGTCTTGGTTTCTGTGGCCCTTCTTTGTTGAGAAAGACCTGCAACCAAAAGCATTTTGTTTGAAACCTAAGGGAACTTCAGTGTACCAGAGCTGTTCCTTGGAAACCGTCCCAGTTAAGCAGATGCGCTGTTGTCAGGATTCCAAACAAGTGGATCCTATTGGAAAGGATTTTCACAATATTAAAAATATGCTTCCCTCTGAAAAAGTTGATGGTAGAGTAAAAAGAAAAGCTGTCATTATTTCTTATGTGTTTCTGCTTTGGATCTCTTGGAAATAGAATAAAACAACTCAAAAATAACGTAGTTGGGCTGGAAAATGAATTTTCTGTTTATAGGATTTTGGACAGACAAAAAACAACTCAAGAAGCTAAGGCGAATAGAAGCAGTGTTTGAGCCCCAAAAGGATTCAGAGGAATACAGACCTGCTATGGATGCATGGCTGCAAGCAATGAAACACTCACCACACTGGTAGAAATTTGTGTTTAATTTTAGAAGAATTAAGACGGTTTAATTAATATTTTATAATGTATTGGCATTAACAGGGCAGTAAAAAGCCATAACTGGAATTTGTGATGGTGTATTATAAGTTGTGTGGTATTTCAGTTCCCCCCCTGCTGCTGGATTACTTACCATAGTGTAATGAACCTTCCCATCATCCCTGTGGCAGCTGTGGTCCAGCTGCAGCATTTGTGTCCCTTCAGTGACCTCCTTTGGGTGGCCCAGCTGCTCAAATCCTACCATGTACTGCCCATGGCTGTTTTAACTGTGATGGGTTTTTCACTGAGCAACTAGCCTCCCTCTGGATCTTTAAAATCTTGCGTATGTTCACCATCAAGGAAGGGTAAAAGAACATTTACTCCCCTAGGCATTGCTACAAAACAAAATGATTGTTGGGGCTGGGTTATGATGAATTCAATTGCTTACAAAGACATTGTTTTGGTAGTAGCCTGTTACCACCTTTTAGTTGACACTAGGCACTGTGATCACATTACTTGTGCACTAGATCAAGATGAAATACAAAAGCAAATAGGCTTTCAGCACTCCATTAAAAAAAAAACAGGATTTTTTTGTAGCTGATACTTTGTAGCTAGCTTGTAGCTCAATTTTAAAAAAAATTTATAAAGACTAAAAGCAATCTTATCTGGAGTGGCCAGCACAGATACATTACAACTAATTCCGGTATGCTGTCTAACTTGTAAATATCTGTACTGTTAGTATCTTCAAGGCCATTTTAAAATCCTATTATTATTAGCTAAAAGGGAGTAAAAAGTTTATTTTTGAAGCTATAAATTACTTTTGTATTTTTAAACAAATAAAATATAATTAAATGTGTAGTTAATTATTCTTATATAATTGCTTATTTCTAATGTTAAATTATTGTAATTTTCTCAGGATTATGTGTAAATCAGCTTCCAAAATGTAAAATGATTAAACATTTTAATTTCAGAATAATACAAAGTTCAAGCTGTGGGTGATTTATATTCCATAGATACTGGAGGAAAAACTTTTTATAGATTTAAGATCATTGAAAGAGAACTGAAGAACTATAATTCATTTTTCTTGTGCTGATACACAGAAGGTCAAATCATACACCATTTCCTTGATTTCCTTCAATCATGTACCCTGAGTTGGAGCATCTCCTCTAGCTGTGTTCAGCCTCCATCTCATTTACTTGTCAGCCTTAGCTTAACCTGCCATTTTCCTTGTTCTTCTGTTATATTCTGCCCTTCAACCTTTGCTACATCTTGGCAATTTTCTTTTCTCCGGGTATCTTTCCAATTCTCCTTAACCTTCTTTAATGTGAGTCCTTAAATGAAGCACAGAAGGAAGTGTGTCTGCTGATTTCTAGTAATATGCCAGGCTGTAGTGCCAAGACTCCAATAATAGTAAGTCCTTCAAAAAGATTCCCTCCATTCCTCCTTCTGCTGTAAGGTAAGATTCTGCAGTTACAGGATATGTGAAACAACTACTTTGCTTTAACACCTGTATTCAGCTTGGGATTTTCTTCTGTCATCACAAAGTCACTGCTAAAGAAAATGCTCATTAGCAAGAAGGTTCTTTCTCCAAGGCCAAGCGGAAGGACTTTAACTCTGGTATTCTGGGCAGAAGTTTGTGCCTCAGTCACTGTTATTCTGCATTTTGTTCTCACTGAGGGGGTTTAGTTCCATCAACATCTGCCTGGGTATAATGTCCCCCTATTGCCCTTTTGTTGAAGGCTCCTTAACTTAGGTTCTCTTGATAGCCTGGAGGTTTTGCTGGGCTGAGCAGGCAGTGTTGCAGTGCTCCCAGAGCTCTAACAGGAGTTGAACCTGATTCTGTTCAAATCACTCTGCAACTCTGCACCATCTGCCTGATACTCCACCTGTAGTGGTGGTAGTTTTCACCCTAGCAATGGTACAGCTAGAGACAGAAAAGATAGCCAAGACATTATATAGTCCTCTTGCCCCAAGTGGTATCCTAGAGGACACACTCTGGATAACCATTTTACCATTGTCACTGTTTATTTGAAGCTGGAATTTTAGCTGATTTCCTTTCACTAGCCTCAAATCTATGGCAGAGAAACTTCACTACAAGTAAGGATGAGAAAAGGCCTTAGTGTATTTACCAGCGGAACCTTTCAAATGGCCTGCAGAGTTGCGAGTTCTCTTGTGGAGAGGTTCAAAGTAGGGAATAAGGCTCTGAAACAGAAGGGTGCCTGAAAATCTCCCAGGATGGACCAACCTTTGGAGATCAGAGCATGTGCCACAGCTTGTGACATGAAGTTGCCCAAAGACTGAGCAGACAAACTGACATTTTGAAGAAATTTGATTACTGATCAACACCTCTTTTGCTTATGTTTTACAAGAAAATTTGATTTTATCTTCCCAGGAAATCCTTAATGTGATGTTATCTGAAAGTGGTACCTGATAATTGATTTGAAATTAGCTTTAGATACATTTTTACAGGTGCTGTGCATCTCAATTTTTGCTGCACAGAAGGGCATTAAAACCATTTTGGAACCTCACTCATACTAACTTTTATTTAAAATATGACAGCTTTTGCTGCTTTTTGCTTGTATTTAATTTTTTTGTCTCTTTTTTGTCTTTTTCTCTTGGAAAGTATATGCAATTTTACATTTTTTATCAACTGAGTTTGATAGTAAAGGTAACAATACAAAATTACAGATATTAACTAGGTTGCAGTTCTGTAATTTTAAGATACTCAGTTGAAATTTAATGTTGTACTTGGGATTGGACAGCAGTGCAGCTCATTGGCATGTGAAGATTGGCAATACAGTTGAGATGTGTTAATGATCTCTGGGCATTCTGCCTTCACAGATCCCACCGTGCTGATAGTAGATAATGTCATATCAGTTTGGCAGTTGTACAATTCATAACATATAGTCCTAGTAAATATGTGGGGACTATGGCATGAAAAATGATGCCTCATAATAATCCCTCTATTGTTGGAGGAATCTTGCTACTATTGTTGTATATCAAGAGAAAGGGCAGATGAAAGTCTTCAGATAGTTGAAAATATTGAGCAGCTGTATTAATTTGGTTACATAGCTAAAAAAAAGATCAAGTCAGATGTGTTAAAAAACTTACTGTAATAACCAAGTTTTGAGTAGTCTTCTTTTAAGCAGTATTTTCTGCTCTACTCTAACAGCTAATTTTATGTAAAATTAATTTAGTTGCTCTCATTTGTTTTTAACAAGAGTGTTTAGACTTGCTTTCCTGTCAGGAGAAAGTAAAAAAAGCAAAATACCGAGTTGCTGAAAGCTTGCTACCTTCTACTGGCATAATCTCTGTAGCAAGGTCCTTCAACTAGTCCCACTATTTCCAGGATCAGGGCACAGCACAAAAGGCTCACCAGTTGAAGAGAAAGAGGGAAGAACCCTTTCCTGCTAGTCAATGGGATTGTGTTATTTTCTGAGCTAAAGAGTGCAAAGAAGTGAGCCCCTCTGGAAACAAAGAGGTGTGACAGTCCTGCAGGTGAGTTGGGAATATGGCAGTGCTCTGCCCCAGAAGTTGGGAGTGTGTTAGTTTAAGGCTTTATGGGGAGTCAGGGCAGGTTGAGGAGGAGAAAAGGGGTGGTGGTGAGGGGGAAGCTGTTTTGGGTTAATGTTCATGCAGGTTATCACAGCAAGGGCTGTGGACTGGCAGGAAAGCAGTAAAACTAGCAGATACTGAGAAGTGATGTATTATGAAAGGGGAAAGAGGTGGCATCTAGGAGGGATCTGACTTGATCTGACTGGCCAGGGGGAGCAAGGTGGTGTTCTGAGGCTGGGACACCGATGGGTGATGGAGGGACACACGAGAGCTTCCTGCAGGGCAGGTGTAGCTGCTCAACCCACCTTAGCATGTCTCAAAAACCCTATTCTAAGGGTTTTTCTTTTTTCAGTGCAGCCTTCATTCTGGGGTAAAATTTGGGATTTGTTAAAGTTCTGAAGGACTGTGTATTGTTTTAGAATGTTACATAAGTAGCATACTTACACTCAAGCAAGTTGGTCATTGTTTCACCACCTTCAAACTTAATAGTGTCTTTGTGTATACATATATGTCTAGATGTGTGTATATAGACTCTCTCCTTGGGGGTTAAAATGGCTATTTTTCATGTTGATACTCAGTTCCAGTATCTCACTTCAGCTCATCAGTGTTTCTTGCAAAAAAAGTAAATAAACCAACGAACCAAAAAGAGATCTATGAAGCCAAAGTGTCTTTATTAAGGCTGGGTTCAAGTATTTCTTTAGCTGTGGTAACTAATAATAGTGCAGTAAACTAGCCAACCTGGTTGCTTCTAGTTTGCTTCCTTTTGAAGGTAGCGTGTGCCTTCTGCACTTCTGTCAGGGCGTGTGTCATATTAGTGGTTGTGGTCGTACCTGTTAGAGGGGACTCCAATTCTATTGCTTTTGTGAATGTATCTTGCATAACACTGACAATATTGATAAAAGTTTTTGTTACATGTTATGGAAGTGTTTTTTACAGGATGAAAATAAACTAAAACCACAATCTGCAAATTCCTAGGCACATGCAAGATTTTCGGTTGTAAACTGCCCCATTGAAATAAATATAAAGGTCTTGTTTGCTAATATTGCTAATATTCCTTAGACTGATATTTAGGAACTCCACTTTATAGGCTGAACACTTGGTTTTTTGGTGTTACTTCCCTTTTTAGTGAAGGGTACAGGATCAAAAATATGTCTTTCTAGAGTATTTAATGTTTGTAATGCAAGAAAAACAGAAGCTTACCATGTATGTTTTGCAGGAATCTAAAGCACATAATAGTGTTTGTGTCCCCATAAACCTTGTTCTGCTCAGCTTGCTCAGTGGCATTAAGCTGCGTTTGTGTTAGAGAAATATGCAAAATGGGTAACTGCACGCCTTGGATGTGTGCCTGGCTGCACTCGAGAAAGACTTAACAAATGTTGCATCGTTGTGCTGAATGGAACTAGTGCCGAATTTATTTTTTTTGCTCCCAGGAGTGCTTTCTATTTATATGGTCTCTGTAAGAATATGTAACCCTGCTTCGTTGAAACAGTTTTTTTACAGCGTTAAGGATGTTGAAATCAAGCACTTAAGGCTTTTCCAAGGCGCCGAGCTGGGTCCGGGTTTTTGCGGGAGCGGGTCCCGGGTCTCGCAGGGCGGAGGTGCGAGGGCGCGGTCGCTGCTCCGGGCCCCGCCGGCGCTTTGTGGGCCCGGGAGCCTTTGTTCGCAGGGGGAGCGCGGGGCTGGGCACGGTGCACCGGCCCTGGCCTCCGTGTGCCGCCGGCTCCGCGCCGAGGCCGGACGTTCCTGCGGCGCCCGCGGCGGGGCTGAACTTTGCATCCCGGGACGCAGCCCCACCGGCTCCTCGCAGATAAGCGGCACGGCCGGCGGCCGCAGCCAGCGCGGCGCCGCGCGCTGTGTGTAAATACAGGCCTATAAATATGTATGGGTTTGTGTATTTATACGCTCCGTACCGCCCGCAGCACCTGGGCGCCGCTGGGACAGGTGCGGCCGCCCGGAGCCGTCGCGGGGATCGAACCCGCGCCCTGACAGCGGCCGGCGCGCGCCGCGGGGGAGAGGCGGCGGCCGCGGGTCCCGGTCGGTCCCGGCCGGCCACGCCCTTCCGCCCCGCCCCCCCGGCCCCGCTCCCGCGGATTGGCGGGCGGTGTGTGTACACACACGGGTTCGGGCCAATGACGCGGGGAGGGCGCCTGACGTCACGCGGCGCGGCGGCCAATGGGCGCTCCCGGCCGGCAGACGCCGCCAAGCTTGTGCGGGGGAGCAGGACCGGGCAGCGCTGGGCGCGGGGCGGGCGCGGGGGGGCGGCGGGGCCGGGCCGGGCCGGGGGCGCTGCGGGCGCTGCCGCCGCCACGCACCGGGGCCGCCGAGGGTCCCGGCTCCGGGGCCTCCTCGCCAGCGGCGAGTGCGCGGCGCCGGCCCGGCCGAGAGGCGTCGTCGGCGCGACTCGATCGCTCCTTGCCGCGGCGGCTGCCAAGGGACCGTCGCCGTCTCGTCGCCTCAGCGTTGCTGTCTGGGCCCAGCCCGCGCTGCCGCCCGCCTTACCTTTCGTCCCTGGCCGGTCCTGCGGGTGAGCGGGGGGCGGGGGCGGGTGTGGGGGGCTGTGGGGGGAAGGACAGCCCCTTTCCTCAGCCATCAGCGGCCGCCGCCCCCCGTGCCCCGGGCAGCGCGGTCCCGCCGGCCCTGCCGCCCCCTCCCCGGTGCCCCGGGCAGCGCGGTCTCCCCCGCCGCGTCCCCCCGGTGCCTCAGGCCGGGCGGGCGCCCCGGCAGCGTGGGAGCCGGGGCCCGACACCTGCGGGCGGGCCCGGGCGGCGGTGACAGCCGGGGCGCCTCCTCCATTGTGGGGAGCGCGGCGGGGCCGGGCCGCGCGGGGCTGTGCGGGCTGCGGGGCGAGCGGCGGCCCGGCCCGGAGCGGCGAGGCTCCGGCCGAGCTCCCGGCCCTGCTCCGTGCCGCCCGGACTTCTTGTCGGGGCGGTTCTCACCCGCGGGTCCTACCGGGAGAGGGTCAGTCCGGCACAACAACAACAAAACTTCCCTGCCTGCCTCTTCCTGGGAGTTACAGGCCTGCCCGGGCTTCCAGCGGTACAGGGCTCAGCGGCAGAGGTGAACCCAGTGTAAACACCGTCTGTTGGAGCTGAGAATACAAACAATAGGAGGAAAATACGGAATAAGCAAACTTCCTTGAAATGTGGAAGAAAACCGCAAATGAGAGCGTTCTCTCTCACTGAGTAAAGGTTTCTCCTCTGAAGAAAGGGTTGAAATGAAATGAAACTTTGGGTTTCATTTTCTCTGTAATTTCTCTGTAAATTCTTGATTTGACAGAGAAAATGAATAGTTTTAATTGATATACTGTAGTATGCTGGGTAAACATTTTTTACAAATTATTTCTTGGTCGGTTTTCATAATTCTGAAAGCAGTTCAATTATTTTTTTGACTCTTCATTAATATGGCTCACAGTGACTTTTTTTTCAACTACTATCACTGATGTAGCTTAATTATGTTGACAAAAGATAGTAAAATGTTGGAGGTTGTGTGGTGCTGTAACAAATTGCAACTTGGTACAATCTTTGATTCAAAAATAACATGCTGGTAAAAATGGATGCTGTTAAAAAAGAAATAAATTCCATTTTCTCTATTCCTTTACCCTTCCCAAATTAACTTCAGTTCTTTTGATTATACATACACAAAAAATACACAAAAAGGGATCTTTATAAGTGTGGCAAAGACTGAGAGGACCAATGTTACAGGGCAAATGCAGAACTGTGTTTCACAGCCCATATGTATGCCAATGCTGTGTGTACTCACTGGTGTTTTTTACTCTGTGAAGTATTGAATTTCAGGAACTTCTGTTCAAACTAACGTGTAGGGTGTTAAATATAGCACTTTGAAAAAACCATGGAGGACTAAGAAGAAATTTGTGTTATAGAAAAGTCTTGGTGGGAGAGGTGGTCAAAAGGAAAAAAAAGTCAAGTTTTCTTTTGAAAAGTTTCTTACTGTGAAGTGAGTCTAGTGCCTTTAGAAGAGGACAGAGTAACAGGTCAAATTATTTACTTCTATCCTAGGGGGAAAAAAAAGAAAATTATTAAATATTAATAAGATTGCCTCATGGGTAAATTTAAGAGTGATCTTATATTACTGTCAAATTGTTTGGCTTTTAACCACTTCCTCTTTGAACAAAAATCAGTACTGCAGCAAAGCAAAAAGAAACCATTTGACTTGTACTATCTTAATAGAATTAATTTTATGGAAAACACACCAGTAAAAGGAATGCTTTGATTGCTGCAGAGGGTTCTGACTGGTGGCCTTTACAAAGTGGGAAGGTACAGTTTTCAGAACAGCATCTTGGCAGCAGCTCTCCCGTGTAAAACGCACAGGCCAAGCAGCCCAGCTGGGCAGCAGCAGTGCTGTTCTGCAGGAGATGTCAGTAACACAAGAGAATTCCTTACCTCTGTCTACTCTTGTCCATGTTGGACAGCACTGTAGAGACCTCTGGTGCATCTGGACACACTTCCTGAGTAGTTGTGAGCACCCTCCCAGTGAGGATCTTTCAGTAGCTTTGGCTAAAATTGTTACAGGTTTAGTGAAGAAACAGGGACCAAAATTCCAGCATTACATCCTCTTCAAGGGTGTATGATGTTACTTGGTTTAGATGTGCAGACCTTGTCACTGTGCCTTTGAAAGCTGAATGTGACTCTCTAAATGCAATATAGAGTAGTGACTTGCATGGTATGGGGGGGAAGCAGCCCATCCTATGTAGAGAGAAATATTTGAATTTCTGCATCCTAATGTGGAACAGAATGAGTTCTAGTTATAGCCAGTCTAATTCAGTTCTTAGAATTGCATTTCTTATGGTGTGCTACCTTAAAATAATGTTCTTAGGGCTGTCTCTAATAAGGGATAATTTCTTAAATTGTTTGCTTTTTCATTTCTTGAGTGTAATGGTATAAGACTTTCTCCACTATCTTTTCAGTTAGATTCACCATACATGACTCTTAATGAACCAACAGTGAATCTTAAAATAGGGAAAATCAGCTGTCTGTTCTGCTGCAAGGAAATACATCTGCATATTCTTTTGTGCATAAAGCTAAGAAACCACTGGAATCGGTTTGTCACAAAACTTTAGGTATTAGGTGAAAAACAATCCCAGTGTCTTGGTGTAGTAATAGTGCCACATACCATGGTGGAGCTGAGGGCACAAATGCCTGTGCTGGGATCTGAGAAACCAGGGATATGCAAGGAAATATTGTAAAAGGTGCACACGTGGTAGAGAGTGAGAATTTTCTAACAGCTTCCTGGATTGATTCTTCATGTATGTTTTGTAACATCCAGTATTAGAATGAAATTAATTCTCTTTTCCCCCATTATTTGATTTGTAGACTATGACTCTTCTGCAAAGATCTGAGGCAGTAGTAAGTGATCTTACTTTTGTAGTTTCATTAAAGGAACTCCTTTGCTCCTTGGTCTGATGTCCTGTGGTCCTGTGTGCCATTTCCAATAAAGGGCTTTAGAGACTGTTCAAATTTACTTTTATGCTTTTCAATATTTCTAGCATAAAAATCAATCTAAGCAAGTTAAACTGCAGGCCTACAATAGTTCAGTTTGCAAGACCATTATAATGGAAATGTAACAAGAGCACAACTTTGTAGAACACCATGCTTCTGGTGAAATACAGAACAGTAATTAAATGAAGAAAGATGATGTTTGAAAATAATTTGAGGTCCAGCTATTCACTTAGTACTGTTGAAGAAACTCTTTGCCTTTCAGAACACAGTTTGCAAAATCCACTGCCTAATGTGAAGCCATTTTTGAGTATATTTGTCTCTACTGAAACCTGAAGTAACTTATAGATTTTTTTAGTACTGACTTGGTAAAAAATAGTGCTTTAGCCAGCTCACATCCAGTATTGGCTGTCACTATGGAGCCTGGAACTAAGCTGGAAAAAGATGAGTGTTCAGTTTTGTTAGTGTACTTGGTTGTGAACTGCAGCAATTCAGGTGTTGGCCGTTTCATTCTTTCTGATTTGATAAGGTTTAAAAGAGAAGACAACTTGATTATTGGTAACTTCCCAAATAATTTAAGCACAAATGGGGTTTGTTTAGAGGTATCTTTGAAGGCATTATCCAGAATTGTCACTGCACTGGGATCTTCCTGTTTTACAGTCTGTAGGATATTTGATTGACATGAACAGCCAGGTTTTTCACAAAACTTCTTAACCTGCTGTTAGTCAACATGAACTGTAGAAATCATCCACTTTATAAAGGTGATGTTGTTTTGACTAGTTTTGTGTTATTTCAGTCAGTGGATGTGCCCTGACCAACAGGTTTTACACAAACAATGGTCAGAGAAGGCAGTGATGGTAGCTGAGACTGTGCTTCTGTTCCTCAGATCTTTGCTAACAGTGAATGGAGCAAACCATGTCCAAACCATGGAATTTTTGTTACCACCTATAGACCAAAATCCATTTGTGAATGTAATTCTGGTCTTGCAGCTGAATTTATTTTTTTCTGTGTGTGTGAGTGTGCTCCTCTGTTTGGCAAGGCAGGTTTCTCCTGTTCCATCAGGTTCCTGCTGCTGCCAGATTCGTGTTGGTTGGGTGGGAATAGCAAATGATTCAGTTGTGGCTTACAACCTCTTTAGTACTTTTGTTCAGTGGAGTCCCTCACTGACCTCTCTTGGGTGACTATAACATCTGGCTGGGTATATGGAAAGGTTAATTTGATAGGAATTCATAATCCATTTAGCCATGGATGGTGTACACAAATGTGTTCTGTGTGAATATGGGACCATTTTCAATTACTATTTTCTTATTGCAAATTACAGGAAAAAAAAAGAAAAGGTCAGAAAGAAATTAGCAACTTGCAACAGGTACCCACTGTCTTTAAGGCTGTGACCTTTTAGTTGTATAGAGGAATTCTTCAACTTGGTAGCAGCTATTTGTGGGAATTAAAGCAGATATATCAGTAGCTGCTCATTAAGGTTTGTGAATGCCAATGCATTGACATACTAAAAGTCACTTGTGAACTGTAATGGTCATCCAAGAATATATGGTGGTAACATGACCAGTAATTATGGATGAGATTAGAAACTGCAAGTGAAAGTGAGCTTATGTCCTCAGAGTGAAATAAGAAACTTGTATGTGTATGGGCTCTCCATTTCTTGGAAGGAAGGAGTGAGGTAACTTCCTTTTGTTGTAAACTTGACCTTGAGATTTGAGGAATGTGGGAAATATATTTCTGTTCTCTTAAAGGTGTAGTCGGGTTATTGTAAACTTCAGTTTATTTAAAATTCAACTTAGAATTGAAAACACATTCAACATTTTTTTTAGATCAGTAACTCCTTACATACAACTGATACAATTTCAAGCTGTGTATTGATTTGGAATAACAGCAGACTTCTGCTCTCTGTCTAAAGCAAATTATTAATCCTGCTTCTTGCTGTAAAAGAAATTGAGGAAGCTGTGATCTGGAGACAAAAATATCCCCCTTCCTAATGGATTTTTGAAGCATGCACACACCCCAGTGAATTCTTCAAAAGCATACAGTAGTCTTCATATGAACAAACCATATCCAA